GTTTGAATTTTAGCCCCAGCCCTCAGCAGTGCTGTGACTGTGGGCAAGTGTGCAGGTGAGCCCAGGTGGTTTGGTGGGGACAGGTAAGAGGGACTTCTAGCCCTCCCTGGAGGGTCTGTTAGGCCAGCTCCCCCGGCCTCCCTGCAGCCAGCTTCAACATCTGGTGGCACTCAGACTATTGACCCCACGCACCTGTCCTTTCACAGCTCCCTCCTGAACCTCTGCTCCGCCAGCCACCAGCACACCTGTGACCCTGAGATCAGAGGTGGAGCCTGCACAGATCAGGGTCAGGCTGACCCCTCCGCTCTGCCAGGCCACCCTCCAGGCCACACAAAGCTGACACACAGCCCTTCTGCGAGGGCCAGGTGGCTGGGAGCCAGCTGAGACAAGCCCCAAGGCATGACAGAATCCAAGATGAAGCCGTGCCTTGGCCCACCTCCACCAGGAGGGAATAAGTCCTTCCTCTTCTCCTTCCTGCCCTCCACCTGCCAGGTCCCCTGTGGAGCTCAAAGGACACATGTGTGCGCACACACACTCACACACACACACACACACACACACACACACACACACACACACTCAGTGGCACACACTAGATGCAGAGCTGAGCCCTGAACCCTGGCTGGAAGTTCTGGGTGTTGCCCATGTGACCGTGCTCACTTCCTACTTGGCTTCCCTGGGGCCCAAGATGGAGGAGAGCACGTGATGTTGGGGTCCAGGGAAGAGCCACACACGTCCCCTCCTCAAGGTTGGCCCCAGGGCTCCACCAGAAACCAGCAGCCAGTCCCCGCAGAGGTGGGGGCGGTGCCCACCCCAGCGCTATTCCCCACCCTGACAAGCGTAGCCCGGCTCTCAGCGCCAACCCCCATCCCCCGAGTAAAGGAGAAGCAACAATCATCGCAAACAGAAAAGGTGGGTGGCCTGCTTCACGAGGAAAATCCTTTGGGGACAGCCGAGGGGGAAGGAAATTAACATTTGCTAAGTAATTGCCACACATTTTCATATGCCATCTCAGCAGCCAGTGAGGTGGGTAATAGTGTCCAGTTTTACAGAAAGGGAAACTGAGGCCCGCCGGTGCTAGTCGTGCAACTTGCCCACAGTCCTGTGAACTACTCGTGGATCAGCCAGCGTGTTGTGGAGGAAAGTGCTAGCGGAGTATTGACTCACTCCAATCCGACCCCCTTCTCTCGGAGGCCCTGTGTCCTCAAGTCCCGGCTGCCAAGGCATCTTTCCTTTTAACTTTGCGTGTGTGTGGCCTTTTGTATCTTGTCCAGCTTTTTAAGATGTTCTCAGTGGGAGGGTTGGTCTTCAACAAAATCCTCTGCCATTATCAAGAGCAGAAATCTGGCTCCCTCGTTTTATAGCAAGGGAATAGAGAGGTCTGGAGTGGAGAAGTGGCTTGTCTAATTTCACACTGCTGATGAAGGCGGTGCTGGAATTAGAACTCAGGTCTCCTGATACCCTTCCAGTGTTGTCTGCCAACTGCAAGCTGAGCAGCAGGGCGATCTCGGTCTCTCACTCACCCAAGCCATCATTTATTTATTCAAAAAATATTTCTCAAGGACATGATGCTCTGTGCCAAGCACTGGGCATGTAACTGTGTCTTTTGCTTTTCCTGACTGCTTCAAGATTTTCTCTTTGTCTTGGTTTTCAGCAGTTTTATTATGATGATGTATGTATTGTGGTTTCCCTTGTGTTTATCCTGCTCTAGTTCATACAGCTTCTTGAATCTATGGCTTGAGGATTTTTGTCAGTTTTGAAAAATTCTCAGTCATTATATCTTCAATTATTGCTTCTGCCTCATGCTGTTCATCCTGTTATTTGGAGACTCCAATTACATATACAGAATACCTTGTAATATCTTCAAGAATTATATACAACTTTGAGGATCAGAGGTAGGCAAATATATTATTTAAGAAATAGATGTAGTTACATGTTACTGAGACACAGAATAACAGGGGCTTAAATGTGATGGTTTATTTCTCCCCTACTTAACAGTAGGAGGTAGGTATCCCAGCTTTGGTACGGTGGCTCTTCTCCACGGGGTGCTGCCCCCATCTGCTTGAACCAACATGGTTCACCACCGCATATCTTCTCTAATCAGAAGGATGGAGAAAGTGGGAAGAAAATTATAACCCCTCCCTTCAAAGTTTCTCCCTAGAAGTTGCATGTCTCACTTTCTTTCACATCCCATTGAGTGGAATTTGGTCACATGGCCACAACCCACTGCAAGGGAGGCTGGGAAATGTAGTCTTGATTCTGGGAGGACACTTCTGGGCTAAGACTTAAGGAGTCTATTGTTTTTCTGTTGTTTTGGGGTTTTTTTGAGATGGAGTCTCACTCTGTTGCCCAAGCTAGAGTGCTGTGGTGTCAGCCTAGCTCACAGCAACCTCAAACTCCTGGGCTCAAGCAATCCTCCTGCCTTAGCCTCCCGAGTAGCTGGGACTACAGGCATGGGCCACCCACCTGGCTCATTTTTTCTATATATTTTTAGTTGTCCAATTAATTTCTTTCTGTTTTTAATAGAGACAGGGTCTTGCTCTTGGTCAGGCTGGTCTCAAACTCCTGACCTTGAGCGGTCCTCCCACCTCTGCCTTCCAGAGTGCTAGGATTACAGGTGTAAGCCACCACCTGGGGAGTCCATTGTTATGAGAGAAAAGGGAAGATAAATATTGGGGGAGAATGATCAGCCTCTTTCACAGCAAGTAGTCACAAGACAAGGCAACAGGTGCTAAGGTGAGGGCTTAGAAAAAGCTGGGAAAGATGTTACAAGAGAAGTAACATTTGACTGGGCATTGAAGGGTGGATAGGAGTTCATGGAGGAAAAAATGACCAAAGGGCACTCCAAGTAGGAAGACTGGCATGAGCACTTGACTCCTGAGTGCAGAGCCACTGCACTCTCGGCCTGGCACGTACTAGGCTACTATATAGATGTAGTCAAATATAATAGAATCAATTGTGAGGACAGAAGGATAGGGTGGGTTTTACTCCAGAGACTGGAGGCCTAGTGGAATTGGAAAGGCAGTAATAAGTGTCATTGTCGGTGGCGACAAGATGATTCATGCTATTGTAGAGATATTGAGATTTAAGGTAAAAACGGGTGTGCCAAGTTGAAATCGCTATGCAGGCAGCTGGGAGACAGCTTGGGCAGACGTAGGGATGAGAGGTGTGGGTTTGGGAGCTCTCCTGGGAGAGTGACTATGGATGCTATTAGAGAGGACATTTTCTTCTAAGAGAAAAATATGTTGAGGATAAAGAGGCCAGGCAAGGACTGAACTTTCACAGTGTGAGAAAAGAGCTATTGAGCAGAAAGCACTGCTGTGTGGGGCAAGCTGTCCTCCTAGAGCTTTCTGAGGCCTCTTTCCTCTCCCCTGGGCCTGGCCCCACCCCCTGCTGTGCCTCCCTGGATCCTTGTGAGCCCTGTGTTAATGAGCAAGTTAATTTCATATTCATTAAACCTTCATTTGATAGGTAATTTAACTTCATTCGTAAAAGGATTTGAGGCAGCATTCTAGCTTGATTTTTATTACACAAGTAATACATATGCACATTTTAAAATATTGTCAAACTAAAGAAATAACATTAAAATCACTTATAATCCCTCCACCCCGATGGTTATAACATTTTGGTACAAATGTGTCCAGACTATATGCTCTCTCCCTTCCTGACAAAATTAATGGCAACAGTTGCTAATATTTATGAGCTCTTACTATGCTCCAGTCACTGCTTTAAGTCTTATATCTGTATTTCATTGTTTAAATCTCATAGCGATATGCAAGGCAGTTGCTATTATTTTCTCAGTTTTACAGATGAGGAAACAGAAGCACAGAGAAGGTTTGAAACTTAACCAGAGTCGCTCGAATAGTGTTATTCTAACCTATATATTCTAACCTACGTACATATTTTTTTAAACATTTGATTATGCAAAAATTTCAAATATATGCAAAAGTGGAAAGAAAAGATGGGGAGGTCCTGTGTAGCCAATGCCCAACTTCAACAATCATCAAGTCATGGTCAATCTTGTCTTACCCATTCTCCTAGTCAGCCCCTACCCTGATTACTCTAAAGCAAATCCAAGACATCATACCATTTCCTTCACAATGCATGTGACTCTGCAGACAACTACTCTTTTTTTCTTTTTTTTAAAGAGACATGGCCACTGCAACCTCAAACTCCTGGGCTTAAGCCATCCTCCTGCCTCCGCCTCTAAAGTAGCTGGGACTATAAATGAGTGCCTCCATGCCTGGCTAATTTTTAAAATTTTTGTAGAGATGAGGTCTAGCTGTGTTGTCCAGGCTGGTCTTGAACTCCTGACCTTAAGCAATACTCTGGCTTCAGCCTCCCAAAGTGCTAGGATTACAGGTGTGAGCCACTGCACCCAGCCAAGGACTCTTAAAATGTAACTACAATACTGTTACCATCACCCACCCAAATGAACAACTCTCTAATATCATCTACTTTCTATCAGTCTTCGAATAGCTCCAATTGTCTCATCAATGTTTTCCCATAGTTTATTTGAATTAGGACCATGTGCACTCCTCCATAGAGGTGGGGCTGGAATTCACAGCCAGATTGGTCTAACCCCAAACTCATGCTCTTTCTATATACTCAACTCACATTAAGGATTAAAAAATCCAAATACTTTATGCTACAGTTAACTTGAGTGTATGCGTGTGTGTGTGTGTGTGTGTGTGTGTGTGTGTGTGTGTGTATGTATATGAAACACTCTATCAGTTTTAGGTATGGATTTAGGCAGTAAAATGGAGATATCAATTTGTAATTTGTGTTTTTTCTTCATTAAGGACTTGGTAAAAGTAATTAGCATATTCTTTCTAATCTCTGGAGCAAATTTCTCTTCTTTTGACCTGCAGGGCTTTTGATCTCTAATGAGTTTCTATTCTGTTTTTGTCCCACAATAGATTGTTATGAACTTGTTATTTCCTTATAAAAGGATCTGTATTATTATTTTCCTTCATCTGCACATTCATCCAACAGATTAATTGGGCACCTGTTATTTGCCAGGGAATGTGATTGACAGATGCGGTCCCTTGCTCCCTACTCTATGGGGGAGACTGAAAACAAAAAGTAAGTGGACAAATAATTAGAACAATTTCAAATTGTGATAAATACCATGTAAAAGTAAACATGGAGGGAATGTGGAGAATAATGGTGGAAACTACCTTCAAAAGCCTTTAGAAACCAATTTCTTTTACTTGCTTGAAGTTCTTTTTGAAAGCGGACTTGATCATTGATTGGTATTTAAAAGAGATTACGTCTTTCAATATACTTTATGCTAACCGCTTGCTACTTACTACTCCCCAATGGCTTCCCTTTCTTTATTTGTGAAGTTGCAGTTGTGATTCTATACCTCCTTAATTTGAACACTCCACGTTATACCTCCACTGTGGTGGTGGTGGGGCCTTTGTACTTGGTTTCTTTGGTGACAAGAGTAACTTCCATACTGAGTCTAAGAAGAATGCAGCTCTCCATTAGGCAAAACATGGGGTACCTTAGTGCTTGTTGAGTCATTCTTTTGGGTGGTGGCTGTTCAATCTGTGAAAATATTTTTAACTGAGTTGGCACATAGGCATTGAAAAGTGTACACAATATGAAAGTTTACACATGAAATAAAGTCTCTGTGAAGCCTCCCTCCTTGTACTCCCAATCCTCAAGTGTAACCCCTCATGGTGTTTTGGTACGCCTCATCCGTCTGCTGTTTATGAGGTCAGCTGGAATAGATTGGCCAACGGGGCCGCCATGGACAGATGTGTGGGATGGAGGGTGTCTGGAGGCCAGGCGTATTACGAGAACACTCTGTGGTGAGCAGTCAGAGTCTTGGTGGCTATCACACTCCAGGGCACTGTGAACTTCATCCGTTTGGGTCTATGCTGTCAACATGCTTGGAGAAGTTTGCCTTTAGAGCTGATTACAGCTTAGCACATCACAATTTGGGGAGATAAAAATATAATAAAGTGAGTTTACGACCATCTTGTCACTGTGGGACTTCTGACTGCTTTCCAGAATGAAACAAACTGTGAAAGGAGAGGATCCGACACCATCAAGAGTCATCAAATCTGACATAATGACTATTTGAAGGCCATTTCAAAAGAGATGTTCAGCAGGCATTACAAGTGCTGGAACAGTGGGAAATATGCAAAGAATATTAACGATGCAATTGCTGATTATGAAATAAAATGCATTTGGTTCACCGTTCTCTAAATGCTTTGATTTCATTTTGGGTATCTACACGAGTTTATACATAATGTTCCGCAACCTGCTGCTTTTCCTCAACAATATCCATATTCGATGCATTCCTATCTCATTCCTTGATAGAGTGCATAGTATCCTGCAATATGAATAGTCTGTACTTATTATATGTAGCCATTCCTCTGTTGGTAGACATTAAGGATGCCTCTAACTATCAAAAATGTTGCAACAAATATCTCCATACAAATATCCTTGAATGTGTGTGTATTTCCAAAGGGTAGATTCCTAAAAGTGAATCTCTGTGTCAAAGGGCATAGATATTTGAAATGTTAATAGACTTGATCAGATTGTCTTCCAAAGACATTCTAACAAAGTGAAATGTACGAAAGTGCTCTTTTCTTGAAACCCTCCACCACTGGATATTATCAGGCCTTTACATATTCCCAGTATGAGAGGTCTACTGCAGCATCTTGTTTTCATTTAAATTTGTCTGATAACAGAGAGGCTGATCATCTTTTCATATATGCATTAACCATTTTTTTTATTACCTCATATTATGGGGGTACAAATATTGTTAGGGTTACATATCTTGCCCCTGTCCCCCCTTGCATTAACCATTTGCATTTCTTCCTCTGAAAGTTTCTCATCCATGTCTTCTGTACATTTTTTCCCTTGTTGAGCTGTGTGTTGGTTTCCATATGGATTTGTGGGAGCTCCTTTTGTGTGGTAAGGATACTAACCTCAGGATTGTTACCAATATCCTAGATATTTTCCAAATGCTTTTTGTTTTCAAATGTTGTTTGTGTTTTTTTGCTGTAAAGAAAGAAGCCGTTTCATTTTAGGGAATCAAATCGTAAGTCCGTTTATTTCTAGCTTCCAGGTTCTGCTTTTGCGGAGATTAACTATCCCCCTCAATTGCTGTCGCACCAGTGCTTCCTATTTAACTACTTCCTGCACGTTGGTAGGTAGGACAGCCAGAGATGGGGAGAATGAAGTAGGGGAGAGGCAGTGAGGGGGGAGGGTGGGAGGGAGAAGAAGAGGAAAGAAGAGGGAAGGGTGAAGGGGAAACTGAAGCCAAAATCTCAGTGAAGCTTGCTAGAGCTCTCTTTCTTGTCTCTAACCTTCCAGTGGCTCTTGCTTTCTCTGCAGATCCCAGGAAAGCTGTAATAATTGGCAGGATGGGAGAAGTTTGCAGTCTTTTGCAGGCATCACTCCCTGCTGCCCCGGTAGGCTTCCTTGCGACCTTCCTAGGAATGCTCCAGATTGCTTCTCAGCCACAATCTCCATTTCTCAGGGCTTCTCTGGGGTGGAGCTTTGAGCTCTTTTTACAATAACGACATAAACCTGATGCTGTACTGGAGGATTTCTTCACCTAAGGACGTGTTCTACTGGTGGTACGGTGGTCATGTTAGGTGGTACATCAACCCAACAGCAAATAACTTTGAATCACAGGGTGAGAAAGCTATTCTCTTTTTAATTGTTTCCTAATATCTCTAATTACATCAAGGAGGAATTTATCACAGTGGTAATGTTCTCCACACTTCCCTAACTCATGCTAGTTAGTCTCTCTCACTTTAACAGAGAGAAAATAGGCCCCTGGCTTGGGTTTTTTGGCAGACAACTATTTAGTTAGAATTTGACAACACACTATTGTTCTCATTGTATTTATTTTCTACAGTTACATTCTATTTGTGGCAAATGATTCTGGTAGGGATTTAGAGTAGAGATCTAAAGTTTACTTTTAAAAGATACTTATTTTTAGAAAAACAGTCAATAGTAGTGCAGATTGCACTCACATATAAAGAAATTCACGCTGATGACATTCCATGGATGGACACTGGAAACCACGTAAATCCAAGTCTATAGAAAACCACCCCCCTTACTTCATCCCTTACCTAGGGGCCTCCCGTGCCCTTTCTTTGTTCCCTGAGATCTCTCAGTATGTCTTGGAGCTCCCTTTTCTAAAGGAATCTTTGTTGGGGTATTAATGGGTACAACCTGTTCCTAGTCAAGGTCATTTTAATAACGGCCATTTAATTGAAGACTCATTTTAATAACAGCCGGGGAAGACAGATCTCTTAACAAAAGAGGGAAAGTAGGAAAAGTCTGTGAGTTTTGTGCTCAGATGGATCTCAGACTAACTCCTGCCTTAACTGGGCATACTGGGAATTTGGGGCTCTATGTTAGGAGAGAGACGGATTTTGGCAGGATGATCTTGTGTCACCCCACAAATGACACCGTAAGGGGTCAGCTCTTCCAAGAATCCTTCACAAGCCTCTGGGGCCCCTCTCTCATGTCCTTCTGCCTGTAGGAAGACAGCTTTTTAGGGACACAGGTAGAGCCCTTAAAAAGTCTTCCCTGGACAGGCGCGGTGGCTCACGCCTGTAATCCTAGTTCTCTGGGAGGCCAAGGCGGGTGGATCGTTTGAGCTCAGGAGTTTGAAACCAACCCGAGCAAGATTGAGACCCCATCTCTACTATAAATAGAAAGAAATTAATTGGCCAACTAATATATATAGAAAAAAATTAGCTGGGCATGGTGGCGCATGCCTGTAGTCCCAGCTACTCGGGAGGCTGAGGCAGGAGGATTGCTTAAGCCCAGGAGTTTGCGGTTGCTGTGAGCTAGGCTGATGCCACGACACTTACTCTAGCCTGGGCAGCAAAGTGAGACTCTGTCTCAAAAGAAAAAAAAAAAAAAGTCTTCCCTGCATAGCAGCATTATTTATAATAGCCCAGACTGAAACTACCCAAATGTCCATCAGCCAGAGCGTGGATAGGTGAAAGGTACCCCAATTTCACAATGGAACACTATGTGACAACCAGGGTCAGGAACCACGACTACAGGAGACAGGATGGGTAAAATGCACATGCATAAATTTGACCAAAAGAAGCGAGGCACAAAAGAATTCATACTATACGATTCCCCTTAAGTACAGAACAAAAACAGGCACAGCTAATCCGTGCTGTTAGGAGTCAGGACAACACTCACCCTCAGGTTGGGGGTTGTATCTGGAAGAGGCCACGGCAGGACTTCTGGGAGCTACTCATATTCTAGTTCTCTACCTGGGCGGTTCTTTCATAAGTGTGTCCGCTTTGTGCAAACTCATGAGCTAAACACATGTGATGTATACATACTTTTCTCCATGTCAGTTATTCTTCATTTAAAAGTCTTAAAAAACATCATTAGATGTAAAAAAAAAATAAGCCCTTCCCACTATTATGTGGCCGCAGCTTCTTTTGGTGACAGCAAAATGGGGAAGGATTATCCTCTCAATTCATAAAAAGGAGAGGAAGATGGATCAGGAGTAGGGGGCGTTGTGAGGAGCAGGGCACAGAGGGGACAGCTGAAGGGTCCCCTGGTTTGGGACTTGGGCTTAGGAGGGGCTTCCCTCATGACCAGGCAGAGGACAAGGTCCGGGGGTCCCTGTGACATGGAAGCTGGACTGGCCTTTGTGGAACTGGCGCCCACATGGTCCCTCCTCACCTTCCTCCTCGTCCTCCGGCCCACTTTCACGGGGTGGGGGATGGGAGGGGTTGAGATCTGGATGCACCAGCCCAGGGATTTAAAGGGTTGTCCAGGCAGGTTCCAGAAACCAGGAGCTCCAGCGGCACTGCCGTGGCAGAGCAGAGTCAGGCCATGTTGGATTCCAGGGAGCCTGGTCCTGACAAGATTTGAAAGAATGCTTGTGGCTGCTGTGAGGAGTCCCTTTGTTAGTAGTTATTTTTCCTGTGGGTTCCTAGCCTGGCAGCGGTAAGAAGCCTGAGGGCTTCTGCGAAGAAGGCAGGGGAGTTGGGGCTGGTTGGGCAGGGCTGGTCTTGGAGGGAGAGATGTCTGGGCCAGGAGGTGAGGGGTCTGCAAGCAGACGCCTAGAGGGGGCAAGAGCAGGATCCCAGGGCAGGCCAGGGGACAGCAGGGTAGACAGCGCCCCCCCCTGCTGATTGGGGGAACAGCTTGAGGGCAGATTGGCCCTGAAAGGTGTGTATGTGTCCGAAAATGTTTCTGTTTAAAACAAAATTTTTTTTTTTTTGAGACAAGAGTGTCACTCTGTTGCCCAGGCTAGAGTGACCTGGCATCTGCCTAGCTCACAGCAACCTCGAACTCCTGGACTGAAGCCATCCTCCTACCTTAGCCTCCCGAGTAGCTGGGACTACAGGTGGCATGTGCCACCATGCCCGGCTCATTTTTTCTCTATATATTTTTAGTTGCCCATCTAATTTCTTTCTATATATATACATATATTTAATAGAGATGGGGTCTTGCTCTTGCTCAGGCTGGTCTCGAACTCCTGACCTCAAATGATCCACCCGCCTTGGCCTCCCAGAGTGCTAGGATTACAGGCGTGAGCCACCGTGCGTGGCCAAAAAATTTTTTTAAAAATGATAAAATACATACACACATTTCTTATAGCCAACCCTGTACTCTTTTCCCATTTGCTGCGTTGGCTTTAGAACCCCGTGCACGCCTCTGGCTTTAGAGAAATAAAGAAGCACAGACAAGCCAAAGTCCCGCCGACCCTTCCTCTCTCCCAGAAGTGACCGCTCCAGAACTCAGGGCTGGGCCTCGTGGGCGCGTGGGTACACGTTCCCCGCGTCCTCCAGCGGGACCTCCGGGAGTTTCTGTGCCCAGAGTCCTCTGTGCGGCAGGGAGCCTGGCGGCTGGGGCGCCCGGGGTCAGAGGCAGGCGCTCCTGGGAAGGACCGGTGGCTCAGGCGGCAGGTGGGCAAGGACGGATTTTCCCAGGGGAACGTGTGCGCCAGGTGTGGGGCCCGTCCCTGTGAGCCCACAGACCACCAGAACTGCGAGGACAGTGGCGCGCTTGGCGTGGCCGCCTTGTCGTGGGCCAGCGGAGGCTCTGCAGCGCGCACACGGTGGGCGGCTGCTGGGCACGGCCGAAATGCACGCGCGCTTCTGGGGCTCTCTCCCTCCTTTCCTGTTTGTCTACAGTGCTGGGTCTGAAATGTGGAGGGTGGAGACCCGCGCATGTGCGGGATAATTAGGCAATCGCCT